CCTGAGGTGCCCCCCGAACCCTGAGGTGCCCCCCTGGAACCCTGAGGTGCCCTCCCGAACCCTGAGGTGCCCCCCTGGAACCCTGAGGTGCCCCCCTGGAACCCTGAGGTGCCTCCCGAACCCTGAGGTGCCCCCCTGGAACCCTGAGGTGCCCCCCTGGAACCCTGAGGTGCTCCCCGCGAGCACAACGAGTGATGAGTGACTTACTCAGGAGGCGGAGGGGTGTGTGTCTCTTCCCTCTCACAGCCTTTCAGGAGAAGAAAAGGCGTAATGAGGTGATGTTTTCCTCTGTCTTTAGCCGAAACGCCTCTTCCTCCGCTTTCCCGCAGAACGCACATTGTAGAACTCTTATCCAAGGAGTGGAGGAGCTAGGACGGAGTGCTATGAACGAGTATATTGGGCTGAGTGTACCAAGTTTTATCTCTGCTACGGCTTCCTCCCCACCTCCTGCCTGGTTTGAGAATAAGCACGTGCAAAGAGCTAACACTGAAAGGCTGGTACTGTGCAAAGACCTCAAAAGACACACACACACACATGCAAAAACAAAACAAAACTAAACTAAACTAAAACAAAACCATCCCGCCAAAAATAATTACAAACTAGAGTGTGCAGGAAGAGAGATAAGGCAGAAGATAAGATTCTACACTATGAGAAATGGCCCTATTTCAGTGCTAATTTTTTCTGTGCTACCATCCCCTTCAAGGGGAGAATAATGGAAATTTTCAAGACACGAAACATTTTGTAGCTCAATTGCTGCAAAGTGAGTGTATTTACTTCTAAATAAGCCATCATGCCATTAGTTGAGTTTTGCTTGTTAGCCAAATGTTGGTATGTTGGAACTGTGTTTCCACTGGGGGTTTCTGACAGGCATTTATCTTGTTTGAGTATTGTTCCTAAGAAAATGAATGTTTTTTCTGTGTTGATTCCATGGATGCTTTATCTGCTAAGTACTGTGCAATGATGCTCTATACTTGGAAATAAAGTTAGTTTGATAACAGCGGGAAAATAAATCATTCCCTCAGGAATCCTTTTATTTGCATATCACCCTTTTCACCTTCAGAAATTTGCTTTGGTGACAGCTACCTTTTGGGTTTTTTACCCAGGGCAACTGCAAATGCAAAAGCTCCAAATTTCTACCGGAGGGGACAGTTTAGAGGTAAAACAAGCAGGTCACACTTTAAGGGAGGGAGGGATTACACAGAGCTGGGTTTCTTACATATTTTCTTTGCAGAGATGAAGTGAAGAAACTCTGGAGTGTCTCATCTCATTTGTTTTCCCTATCACAGAATGAAGCAATATGTCTACAACAATAATTAGACCTTTGGATAATGTAAATCAGCACAATTCCAGGAAAGTAAGCTAAGGATCTAACTATAACTGCTTTAAAAATGTGTAGAAGATACTTTGCAGTGCTTTTGGTTTTATGACTTAGTACCTGATTTTAAAACCTTAAAGAAAGCAGATATCATAAAGATGATAATGATTTTATATGACAGTCTGGAAACTATTTAGCAGCCAACAAATAAAATGGTAAAGTAAAATGTCATCAGCTTTTTAATTTCTCAGACTGTCTTTATAGTGACAGTCTGGAAACTTCTTTCTTTGACTCAGTCTTTTACAGCAATATTTTCCATGAGTTTTTCTCACATTTATTTACTTTCATATTCTTTTTAAGTTTTTGAACTTTAATCTGCATTGCGGAAAGTGCTGTGTTCAATTGGTCCTTTCAGCTAATGTCACAGCTAGATCTGTGATATGTGAACATATATGAAAGGAGAATAAACTTTACACTTTTGAGTGTAAAGTTTACTAGTTCTCAGACTAATACAATTACTAATTATTAATGCAATTTTAATGGAGAAGTCATAGTCTGGTAATAGATATGTAACTTGAATAAAAATAGCTACAGCTTAGATATTAGTTTTGAAAATGTCATGATGAACACAAAATTTTGGAAAACAGATTTTTGAATAAAGCTCTGACAACCTGGCCAGTTGAGAATCAGTCAGAGAAGACCAGATACTTCACACAGTTTTTCACATCTTCCTTTCCATCCAGCATAAACTATTCCGAGGTGCTAACTGAAAAACTGAAATTATTTCCGTCATAAATTGTAATACATCCAAATGGTTTTAACTAACATTTAAACCTGTTTGCTGCTAGGTAGCAATAGTCTTTCTTAAACTACATCTGTTATCTCTATGTACAAATTATGTTAATTCTTCGCAGATATTAAGTCATATTCAATAATTTTTCAGCATTATCTTCCCCTGATGTCAAAAAAGCAGGTTACAAACTGATCATGACTCTGTTAGAGCCTCATATATTTCTCAGAAATTTTAAAATAGAGAAGTTGGACACTTTCAAACTTTCCTCTGTATCACAGCATCACAGGATAATTCAGGTTTGAAGGGACCTCTGGGAGTCCTCAAGTCCAGCCGCTTCTCAGGGCACACACAAATGAGACACGAACACTTACAAGGATGGAGATTCCACAGCTTCTCTGGGTACATGTTCCAGCTTTGGAACATGCATATGGTGATTTTTCTTTCCTAATATGTAATATAAATTTCCTATGTTCTAGCTAGTGCCAGTTACTTTTTTGTCCCATCTCTGGCCTCATTTGAGAAGAATCTGGTAACATTCATTCTCTCTGTCTTTTCATCAGATTACTGTAGGTAGAAACAGGGCCTCTTGTCCTCTCCCTGTATGATCTGTGTTCTTGGTGGTCTTCCCTGGACTCCAATATGTCATTACCTCACTTGTACTGGGGAGCCCAAAACTTGACATAGTGCCCCAGAGATTATCCCACAAATGCTGCATCCAGGGGGGAATAATCACTTTCCACAGCTATATTCTCTTTAGTAAGGTGCAGAGTGCTCACTTTAGTCACAAGGACACACTGCTGAATTGTGTTTGCTTTAGTGTCATCCAGGACATCCAGTCTATTTCTGCAAAGCTATTTTGCATTAGTTTGACCTCCAGGCTGTGTTGCTGAATGGGTTTATTCTGTCCCAGATACAGCACTTTGCACATGCTTTGGATTGAGCTTTTTGGGTTTTCCATCCATCCATTCCTGCAGTGTGTTGCTGTAGAAAACGGCAGCCCTGTGCTCCAGTAGGTAAACTATCCCTCCCCAGTTTGATATTCTGTCTGAAAATTCATTGGATGTGCAGTCAGTCCCATTGACAAGGTCATCAATAAGGATATTAAACATTCCTGGTACCAAGATCACTCCCTCAGGGATGACTCTAGTAATTAGCTGCGAGCTGAGGTTCTTGTGCTGGTCACAACGTGTTAGTCCCACACCACAGGGACTTTGGTCCCACTGTTTTTCTGATCACTTTTGTAAATTTGTCTGTCTAGCAGAGATTGTGTCAAGGACCTTGCTCAATACAAGATATGCAGCATCCAGTGTCCTCCCACTCTCCAAAACACAGCTGGATGTGCATGAATTGCATCTAAAACAACAGCTGTAGTTTTTCAACTCTTACAAGAGTCAGGAACATACACTTGTACATTCAATTTAATACACTATCAATTTTACACATCATCTTCCAAACAGCCTTTGTCCAGTGCTGTAAGATATTAATGTTGCATATATGACAAAAGATAGCTTGCTATAAAAAATCATGAAAACTTCTAAAAACTTCCTTTAAGTGGTCAGGTTCTTGGGCTTCACAACCATGTGAGCTGTAGGAACAACAAATCTCAACCCTAAAGGATTCCTAGCTGGTCAGAATCTCTGAGTGCCTGTTCACCCACGAGAGGGCAGGATGACTCTGCTCTATTAAGAAGTGAAAGCAAATCTACTCTCCATAGTCCCTTGAGGCGCCAAAACCACAGAAGCACAGGGCAGAAACAAAGAAACATTAAAACTCTTTGAGGACAATATAATTCAGCAACAAAATTTCCTTGGTTCTCTTTAGTCTAAGCTTAAAGTACCCAAACTGAATCTTCAATAAGCTTTCTATGTTCATTCCTATGTTATTATTTCTATGTTTATCTATTTCTATTTATTCTATTTATTTCTACATTATTCTAACTCTATTTAAAACTTATCCTGTGATCTTGGAAGTGAATATTCTGTCTTGCTCAGTAGCTTATGTGAAAAATCTTCATCGTTTATAGCAACAGGGTTTCCTGTTTTTACATATGCCTTATGTATGCTCTCTGCGGGAAGAAATGGTACTGTAGGAATAAACCAAGTCTCACACTGGCATGAATCCATTTTTTGGGGCCTCTGCACAGGCAGTAAGGTCTATTCAGAGCTGTCTTTAGGAACAGGTCCCAACACTGCACACAATCTAATGAGGTAATAGCAAAATGCGACATTTTATGCTTTATAGTTGTGGTGAAGTGAGCAGTGAGTGAATGAACACTTGAAAATACAACTCATTGGTGAAAAACTGTCTGGTTTGCCATAGATCTTTTAATTGAATGCTGAGAAATAACTATACATACATTTTATGCACATTTTTTCTACTCCAAATACCTATCTGTAAGTCTGAAGATCCATATTCAATAAAAACTTACATTAAAAGGAAAGAACTTGCCTGTTTGCATCCTGGAACAGTAAGTGTTCTGCATCCAATTTTCACTTTTTAAGTCCATTCTGTAGCAAGTCTGAAGCTGAAAACTAAGCCTTCTCTGACAGTAAGAATTTTCTGGGTTTGAAAATTTAAAAATATTAAAATTTTCAGGGAAACCTGTACTAGAATACATCTTGTTCCTGTTCCCCTGAACTAGGAGGAGATTTGGCTCTGGCCTTTGCATCTAGGCTGTTTCCTATCAGAAAGTATAACTACATATGAGGCCAAAGCATAGAAAAAGGTGGATAATTCCTGTTATAAAAAAGCAGTCTATTTTTTCAGTAGCTTAAAGAAATGCTGACAGTGTATCAAAAGAAGATCCTAAATTTTAATATGTTATTTCTATCTGGAGATAATAATTACAGTAACACCATGATTATTGTACCTGAAATATTTAAAATTTCCCCTTTGTGTGAGATTCATTTTAATAGATATATAAAATATTTTAAAGTGCATGTATTAGTGCATTTAAAAATACATACATACATGTACATAAATACATACCTTTACATGTATTAGTGCATTTAAAAATGCATGTTTTGTATATATATATGTCTGTATATATCAATTCATTTATTTCCTGTAACAATTTATGTTGTATTTATATATAGATATAGACATGGAGATATATCAATGTATTTATTTCCTTTAACACTGCATTTTTTTACTGCTATATTCACATCAGTCTCAAAAGACCCTCTAGTGAGGGATTTTTATTTATTTAGTATTTTTCCATACTAAGGAAAAATGAAATTTCATCTTGTCAGTATCACTATTAAATCAAAAAGGAATAAGTGTCAGAAAAAAAAAAGTTAACAAAAGATTTCTTTAAAAATACTTTCTAGTTGCAAAATACACATTATACTTTCTAGTCAAATAATACAGAAGGCATTTATATTTTATCAACTGATATAGGAAGATGAAGTAAACCTGCAAGGCATTCAGTTAGTCACAATCATAACTTTCTGTTATATATATTATATATAGATATAGATAAATATATAACTATGTATAGAAAGAGTACAGATATGTTTGGCTTTCTGTGGCATGCAAAATTATCCACACAATCTAGAATTATTTCTTTACAGATCTCTCATACCTATAAAATGTTCCTAGACCTCTTGCATCAATTTACCCCATCATTACTCAATCGAAGGACTAAAAAATGTTCAAAAAACAGAGCCAGACCTCCAGACTGTGCAGTCATGTACCTTCTGAAAGGAAAAACAGCTGTGGGCTTGTAGTGATGCTGCAGCACTGTTTTCCAGGACTGTTCACCTGGTGTTAGCCGAGTGTGAGGGCCTGCGTGTCAGTGGCATATGGTACCTCACCTGCTTCCAGAACTTAGAACTGGGTGACTGTGGGTGCACCGTGTGCTCCTCTTTCCATTTGATGGTACCTTGATGCTTAATAATAAACCTAAGGGATTCCTGAAACTTCTCGTAAGTCCCAATTGTCTCCATTTCCAGAAGGATCACCTTGGTGTCATTTTGAATGAGGGCGTTGTATAAAGCGATGTGTTGATCATAAGCATCTTCTTTAGAATTAATCAGCTGGTGTGTTAGCAAGATGATCAGCCGTCTGCTCTTCTGCATCTTCTGCTCAATCGCACTGGCTGCATCTGGCAATGTACAAGAAAATGATGAGGCACTGATATTTCTTTTAAAATTCTTTTGAGATTGGAAAGTCCATTTTTATTGCTTAGTAACCAGACCTAATTTCTATCTCACTTCAGTCTGACACAGTTTATTTTTTTATTAAAAAAAAGACTTTATCCCCTAAACCTCTCAGAAAGGCAAAAACAAAACAAGAACCAACCAAAGGGGATGGGGCAGGTGGAGAAAAAAAGCAAAAAAGCCCAAAGCACAAAGCTTTCTTTTCAAATTATTTGGTATTTTTGGTTGAAACATTATTATTTTCACTGCTTTTAAGTATTGTTAGGAATTTCTAGTCCAGTGACCTTGGGTCAAGTCCAGTAGATCTGACTGTACCAATATTGTGTTTGATCAACAGTCTCCATGTAAGGAATTGTGTTGTACCAAGTTTAATGCCTTAGAGATGATCTAGCAATACTTACCCATGGAAACTAGTCATTAGGAGACTTATGGGTGACTTGCATCTAAGAGGCTTATTTCCAGGTGGGGTTAGCATTAACTACAGTTAATTGTCCTGTGTGTTAAATTATAGGCTAATCTGTGCATTGTGTGGGCCTTCACCCTGAAGGGGTAGATCCAGACTTTCAGGGCATCTGTGTGTCAGCACAACTGAAGGTGTTTGAATTTCCCACTACCATGTTGAGCTGATCAATGCTGCAGTCACTGTGATGCTGGGCCAAAAGAAAGGAAGTGGGAGCCCAGCTGGGGAAATTAAATGCACCAATTATTTAACAAACCAGCTGATTTACAGATGCATCAGCCATCTCCATATGTACCCACCCTCTTTTCTTTTGCTGGGGGCTGCCAGACCACTGTAAGTGGTGTAAGTTTTTGCCATTGTTAGTTTTGTGAGCTACTGTAGCTCCTTGTGCTGGATCTGGGCATGGTCTGGCTCAACAACTTTTGCAGCTTTTTTTTTACCTTAATTTTTCCCAAGGCCAGGCAGCCCTTTCACAACTTTCCAGAAGAGAAGGGCATCAAAGATCTCAGCCTTAGCTCAGGGCAGATGAATGACACCTGGCCCAATGCAGATGATTTCAGAAATGTGAAACAGAAAATGCACCAGCTTAGGCTTCTGCTCACTGACAGAGGGAGAAGATGAGTCTACAGAACCAGAGCACAAGGTAAATAGACAACTCAGCTCTGGAGGAGAGCAGGTAGCATCTAGGTGGAACCAACCATACACAATAGTGATGTGGAAATTAGCACAGATTAATTAACAAGATTTCATCCTGAAAGACAAGAAAGCAGGAATAAAGCATATCAACTCTCCCCTGAACTAATGCTGGGAATTGTGTGAAGGGAAAACAGAACATGTTAGTGAAAAGAAGCTGAACTTCTCACAACTCTAACACCATCATAAAAGGTTGAAAACTCCTGAGTGATAACAGCAAAGGTGTTTCCTTGGCTGAGTTTGTGGGTTTCTCCTCTTCCTTGCCTTGCAGTCAGCCAAGGCAGCTCACACACAGTTTGGTTGTGGCTTTGGCCAGATAATGGCTGTACAGAGTTAGAATTTCCAAAGAACATGTGTATGCTTAAAAGAGTCACGCTCAGGCTCATGTTTCCAGTGTGTTCCAAGATGATAAGAAGTCTGTGCCCCTTCCTTGTAGCTTGCTTTTTCTAGCACAGAGGAAAGCACAGAGGGCCCTTGTGACACCTAGCCTGAAAGAACACACAGATGGCTGCTGAGGAGATGAGCTGCAAGGTCAGGAATGTAGAGTGACCTTCTATACACCTAAAAGGGACTAGAATCACAATTTGCTCAAGCTTGACAAGTAATTCAGTGCAAATTCAATTATCAGATCTGAAACTTACCTTCTCCAGGATATATATCTCTCCCATAAATACACAATTTATATCCACATTTATTTTCTAGAATATCTGGCATAATTTGGTAAACAAAATATTCCACAAAATTAGCTTCACTGGTGTGGGTTTTGGGGTAGATTACATACGCATCGTATATCTTTCCATCTATAAGGCAAAACAAAAGGAAGGAGTATTGTGTTAACATGAATTAGAGCTGTCTTTTGCAAAAAGTAGGAGATAAATAAAAATATCAGTCACTGAAATAGATCTAAGAAGCTCTGGCCAATCTGTATAATGTATATCATCTCATGCATGTTTGGAAACTAACGACTGTTTGATGTTTTCCACGCTCAATTTTTTTGTCCTGTGTGTTTGTAGCTTTGGAGAACCTGGCCTTTGTATTGTGAAGGCTGTATTCCGAAGTATATGCTGTAAGAGTTGAATTGATTGATGCATATTATCATGATACAGCGATGAAACTCAGCATTTGTTATTTCAGTGATAAAATTCGCTATTAACAGGCTTTGTCTCTCAGCACAAGATATTCCATTCAAATTCTTCCATCATGAAGATTTTATTCGTCATTCCCACAGCATATGATACTCCTGAGTGGAAAATCCCATTTCTTAGGAAACAGTCTTACAATCAGAACCAAGTACAAAGTATTTATTTCATTCCTTGTTTCATGTCTCTAAATTAAGTTTTCCATTACAGCGTTTTTATTCTAATCATGAATGTTTCTTTCTTTCTCTCTGTTGGAAATGGCCACATCCTTTCTTTCGTTGCCAAGGTTCTTGCTCAAACCAATCTAATAGATCCTATGAGGAACAGCTGAGGGAGCCAGGGTTATCTAGTCTGGAGAAGAGAAGGCTCAGGTTTGACCCTATTTCTCTCCATAATGACCCAAAAGGAGGTAGTAGCCAGGTGAGGATCAGCCTCTCCTCCCAGACAACCAGGAATGGGAAAAGAGGCACAGTGCTAAACTGGACCAGGGGAGGTTTAGGTTCAACATTAGGAAGAATTTCTTCATAGAAAATATGATTAGGCATTGGAATGGGCTGCCCAGGGTGGTGTTGGAGTCACCATCACTGGAGGTATTTAAGGAAAGGCTGGAAATGGCACTGAATGCCATGGTCTAGCTGACATGGTGGTGTTTGGTCATAGACCGGACTCAATGATCGCAGAGGTCCTCATTGATTCTGTGAATCTGTTTATTTTGTGAATCTGTAATAATAATACAATGTCCATTTCCAGAGTCTGATTAATTTCATCATGAAATATACTTAAGTGGAAACTGTCCTAAAAAAGCATACTTCTTTCCTCTTTAAGGAGAAGATAAGTAACTAGATCGGCTGTAGATATCTACCATGCAGACATTGTGGTGTGAGTCAGCTTCAGATTAAAAAATTTAAAAATTGTCCTTTTAGCTGGATTTGGTCTCTTAAAAACATGTACCTCATCATGTCATTAGGCACCGCCTGCCTTTCAGCTGCCCCCTGCAGGGGAGTTCAGGTCTCACTTAAGCTCTAAGGCAGCCTCAGCAGTACCAGCTGCTTACAGTAAATTAGACAGCTGGACACAGCCGCAGACCTCCAGGTTTCATGTCTAAGATGGAAACTTGCACGTGTGCACTTTCATTTCACACAACTAAATGCAGATGTCTGAATCTTGAGCTGAAAGCAACCAATGAATTTAGATGGGATATCTTCCTCCAGAAATGCCTTCCACACTACTGGTATCTTTTTGGCCTACAAAAACTGTGTTGTTCAAACATATGCTTTTAACATGTTAGTCAGCAGGTTTGTTCCTTTGCATTAGAGAGCACATAACAAGTACAGTTAACAGCACTGTAAATCAGATTTTCAAAGTCATTCAGTATTTTATGGCAAATACTTTCATCTAGAAAAACTACAAAACCAGGATTGAATCTCTCTTTTATGTAATTCAGTGCTACAAAACTGAGGAAACAAGGGAATATAAAGCACTTACAGAGCTGTGTATGACTTCTCTTTACTAAAGGTGCAAGAGAAAAGAATCAGGCTCAGGTGTCATGAGTTAGCAACGATCAAATAAATTACTTTCTCTATGATTTGTCATTTTCCCTTTTTTTAAACTTTTTTTCTCAAATCTTACTTACCATCCTTGACTGAGTAGGGCTGGAATATCTCCCGATACAAGAGGACAATATCAACTCGGAAAGACTGGTAAAGGATAACTGAGATTGCTATTGCACCTAGCAGAACCAGAGATCCTGTGATCAGGAGGACATTAGGAAGAGCCTCTGCAAAGTAGAGGAATATATTGTTAGCCACAGAGAAGTAAGTTAACCCGTGTGCTGAAGCTTTAGTCTCATATCCTTACTTCTGCTACAGTTTTCAGGAGCTCAAAACAGAAATTACAAAGCTTTTTCCTTCCCCAGCTGGCACAGCCAACACATAGACCCCTGAACTAGAAGCATATTATTCAGTATATAATTAATATTAATTTTGTTAATCCAGACCTATTTATGCTAAAAAACACAGCTGAAAATGATGTTTAAGTATTTTGAAACTTTTAAAAACTGGTTTGAATACAAACACACAAAACACAAAAAAAGGAGGAGTATGCCTCTTTATTACACATTTACAAGATGAGAGGCACAAGCAAATCTATAGCTTTTCTATTATTCTGAGAAACAAGCAGCATTGCTTTAGCATAAATATTGCTGAGCTTTTTAAGGACTGAGTAAAGAAAACTAAAGCAGAGCACAGCCACTTCTGGACACAGCATAGCTGACACCAACAGTGCTGAGGAGCAGAAGCAGACACCTTGTCAACAGCAGGGACAAGGGCACAGATATCCATACAAAAGAGTCAACAGTGAAAGCAAGGTCACAGTCAAGAGCTTTCATAAACATTTACAAAGACCTATGAATAAAAAAAAAATAAGATTTGTCTATAACCCAATTAGATTCACTGATTCATGGGATGAATACAGAATGTGCTCTCCTCCATCTAGTCTGTAACAGGGGGCCAACAAGGGAGTTGTATTGATAAACCAGTGAGCAGGAGCTGGTACTCAGTTCCCTTCCCGCTCATTGCAAGTGCACTCCCACACTCAGGTACTTCAGTGCAGAGCTGGTGTGTTTCCAGCTTCCTCAGCAATGATACACTCAAACTCACCTATCCAACCAAAACATCTCCTGCCATCTTCCTGCTGGGTTCTATTCTGCTCTTACAATTCACCTGCATCCCTTCTAGTCTAGGCTACAGCAAGGAAATTTGTCTAGGCTTTGAAGCCATGATCCTCTAGAAAGTCATGAGCAGTCAAGAATACATCAGGACATGGGTCTGTGCACACCCTGTGATCACAGTACACTTGATTTTACTCTACCCATGACTCTCTTTTAGAAAACCAGTCTCTGTTAAAGGTCTTGACATTTACTTTCAAAGTCCCTGAGAAAAGAGAGTAGTTTTAGATTACATATTAGGAAGAGATTCTTTCCTGCGAGTGTGGTGAGGCACTGGAACAGGTTGCCCAGATAAACTGTGGATGCCCCATCCCTGGAAGTGATCGAGGCCAGGTTGGATGGAGCTCTGAGCAACCTGGTCTAGTGAAAGATGTCACTGCCCTTGGCAGGGGGTTTGAAACTAAATGATCTTTAAGGTCCCTTCCAACCCAAACCATTCAATGATTCCATGATTCTTGATGGTTCAGCATATCTGAAGGGATGAAAAACAAAAAGATTGATCACAGCTGTTTCTTGAGTCTTCACAGACAAAAGAGCATTTTCTGCAACAGGAATCTGATTCAGTTGTGTTGGCAAGAGTGCTTAGGGATCTGGCTATCCCTATTACAAAAGAACATTCCTGTATGAGCTAAGGATTATCCCTGTCCCCACCATTTACTGCCCTGGATTTTTCTTCTCTTTCAGGTACTACTAGAATTTAAAAACAAAACCAAGGGAAAGCCTTCAAAGTGCTACTCACACCTCTGCGTGGCACAGAGGGAACACAGTGGCACTCAGAGAAGATAAAAAGTGATTTTGAGGAGGCAATTCCTACAACATTCAGTCCAAAAAAGGGCACTACAGTGAAGCAATATAGTAAGGAATGAATAAACAGCTGAATAAATAATAAACCAGGAGCTGAAACCCTTGTTTTTAAATTTTGCCTACTTTCTGCCACAGTTTTACACTAGAAACAGTAGTTTGATTTGTCACAGTGGAGAAATATCCTAGGAACAGGATAATCTTATCACAGGGCTGATACAGTCACGCTCTGCATGTTTCATCTCTTGCTGATACTGTTTGAATAACGGCCCACTCTCTCCCCCACCCCAAGGACTCAGCCACAAGAATTTTGCAACTGGTTTGAACATGTAGGGAAGAAGCAAGCTGGTTTTGCTTCTTATTAACTGAAACTTTTTTACTATCTGAAACAAATAATAAAATAAACTCACCAACATATTTCAAATTAATTGCAAAGTGTAAAGAATCAAAACAAAAAAATCCTACCCTCAGGCTGCTCTTTGAGTTGTAATGTCACCGTGACTCTTGTGTTGTACATTGTGTTCAGTGCAATACATGTGAAATTTGACTGCAGATCCTCCTTTTTTACTTCAGTAATATTCAAAGTGGTCTCCTCATAGTATACTTGCTCATGTCCGTGAAAACTAATAGAAAAAGAAGGAGCTGGTAACATTGGTTTCAATGGTTAGGCACAGTTTACATAGAAGAAAGATTATTCTGTGTTATATGCACTTACAAATGAGTTTCTTCATGAAATCTCGAAAAATCAAGGTTTTCCACTGCGATGTTATCGACATCCCATCTGACAGCAGACAGTGGCTGTTTCTTAATCCCCAGGCGGGCCTGACATTTCAGAGACAAAGCAGCACCTAATGAAGATAGAGAGATGTAAACATTCCTTAATGAAAAGCTTAATTTTATCTTCCTCATAACATCTTTTTCTACAAATCTTCATACAGCTTATGAGTTTTGTCATAACAATTTTGATATTTTTCTGAACTGCTGACAAAATGATACATAGAAGAGACAAAAGAAATAGTAAAATTAACTTTTCAACAAATGGGCTAATAACACACCAAGGATTACAAGAAGAATTATTCTTTATTCTATTATTATTTATTATACACTTATATAAATATAAATTATTATTTATATTTATTATGATGAAGGCAATGTAGCCTTTACTTGTGATGTTTGACACATGTAATCAGCCAGTGAGGAAAATAAAAAGGATAATGGTGATTGACACACAAATGTACTCAGAAATAACCTAATTAAATTTCAGTATATAATATTTTGCAGAAGACTTGTGTGTGCTTTATTTTGGACTTTATTTAAGCTGGACAAAAGTAAAGTAAACCAGTCCAAACAAAACTAAAACAGGAAATTACTTACTAAATATTTCCCATTAGGAAATATTTATTCCAAAGTAAGGGTCACTATTGCACCAAAAGAAAGTATAATTAAAACATGGTAAATTGTTTGCATGTAAGTCCACATCTAAACAGGTCTTAGATAAGTTATCAAATCTTATGGTTCAGTCATGAATTGGTATTAGGGAGCATGGAAAAATCCCTTCATTTTTGTGAACTGGAGACAATAGAACCAGCACAGCAATTGGGTTTTCAATGTAGAATGAATTTGTTCTATGCAAGCAGTGCCAGAACAATAGGCAGAGCCCACAGAGCACTAGGCACTGACCATTTACTAGAGAAAGCTTGTCCTTGAGCAGAGACAATCTAATTTCTGAGCAACAAAGCAAATGGGGGAAAGAGGAAAAAAAGAATGGGAATGTAAGTCAACTGATAAGTTCAGCCCCAGCATGTAGCACACAGAGGGCTGTGGACCCCTGCAGTATCTGCTACAAGAGCAGCCTTGCTGTAGGACAGAGGAAGAAAAATGGTAGTTACAATCCCTTCTCCCACTGGCCCAGCTTCATCCCACTTGCTCTGGCAGACAGACATCCTGGATTACCTGTTTAGATTTCAGATGGGTTTAGTCTCTTGCTGGAGCACTCCACCTTTCTCCACTGACTACAGAAAAACACCAGACAGCTCTCACTCCTACCAGAAACACCTTGCACTTGATGGTGCAAGTTACCCAGAATGAATCTGAATCCCTGAGAACATCTATAGCCCTGAACAGAGGGGAGCCAGGAGAAAGCTCTACATCGTGGGCTGTCCGACCAGCCCTGTCTAAATTCACTGCCTGGTCCTGTCCTTCAGCCCTCCCAGAACCTTCCAAGTAGACTGGTCTGATGACTTCTAGCCAACATTGAGACAGGCAGTGCTCCTCAGCCTCAGGGCCAGCAACCAGTTCCTTGCTCTCCTTCATTTCCCAACAGAGACACAGGCACTGTCTCCACATGGGCACTGAAGGCAGCAAGGAGTAGCTCTGGTCACAAGAATAGTCCATCCTTCCCTCTTAGGGGTACCATCAAGCAGTTTTGAGGGATTTAGCCACAGCCCTGTTTGAAGTGGATGGAAGATGTCACCTTTCAGTTGAGATAATTCACTCTGTGAATTATCCTAGTTTATCTCGGTGAAAGTAGAACAAGTTATTTCAATCTTCTTAAACTTTACTTAATGTCTAAATAACCCATCAGTTATATCTAACTTCACATCCCTGGGCCTGGAGGCAAATCTGGTAAATGTTATGGTGCAAAACTGTGATGAAAAGTCCCATCATTACACTTTCTTGAAGATATTCATGTTTGCTAGAACATTACAAAATGTTAATTTAACAACAAATTAAAATTTATACTCACCAAGCTCTGCTTCTACTACATCTTTATTCTTTGGAAATATGATTTGAGGTGGTAGAAATGAGTATTTCACTTTAGGAATTAAGGAGGAAAAGAAAGCATACATTAGCAAGCTGTGAAAATACATTTTTTGTAAGATAATGTTTGTAAACTGTACAATATTTTATGATCACAAAACAGAATTGCAAACTAACAGTGTTTCACATACCTATTGGGATCATCTGGTTTTAGTCCACCAACCAAATATCTCTGGGGAGTATGTACACGTTAATATTTTCAGTATTTTCTCCCCGTCTATTTAATTTTACCTTTGTACATAGAAAGTAAGGAAAAAAAAATAGTTTTGAAGTATTGTTTTAGCTGTCAAGGGGGGGAAAAAAGCAAATACTGTTATTGGATTGTGTGTTTTCTCAGCTGTTTTGGGGGTTTTTTTAAGAGGCACTTGAGAAATTACATCTATTATATCAAATAGGTAATATGTACTTTTATGCAGTATCTGAACTACAAGCAAACATATTGCTTTTTAACTCTTTCCTCATTAAGCTTTCCCATCTCACAGCACCTCTGTAAAACCCTTATTTCCCAAAAAAAACCTGTAGGAACACATTTCAGTCCCTGCTTCCCAGACTGACTGAATATGATAAAATAGAAGTCAGGAGAGAGCCAGTAATTTCCCAGCTATCTGACTATACTGAGTTCTCAGCTGCCAGCATTCAGAGACAGAAAGTCCTCTGGATTAGCACGAATCTTCAAGGCAACAGGAATGTATATCATAATTCTCTAATATTAACAAAACAGAACAGCTCCACTCATGAGCATACTAATTTTAAGGTCTGACAAAAACTCAAAGGAGTTGTCATTAAGTACTTTCAATTTAGCAAAACCTGGAGCGGATGTGCCAGACCCCACCCAGATTTCACATGTGTTGCAATCTCTTCTTTCTGCAAGGATTTCAAAAGAAAATTAGATCAACTTCAGGATCTGCCTGGATGTAAAAAAGGTTTTTTTGTAAATGTTGTAAATTGGAATGCCTTTACGTCAAATAAAACCCAGAAATTTCTTTTGTAATCCTCCAGGAAGAACTAGTCCAGAACAGTTAGGGAAGTTTTGATGGAAGTACATGCAAACAAAAATTGTTAGGCAGAGAAGTATCATGTAAAGCATAATCGTGATCATGTAGAGCAACAGGTAGAAAAGGAAGAAGGGCACAACATTTCCCAGCTACTGAACTAGTTCTTTACTCAAATCTGTTTTCTGTCCAGCTCAGAATAATCAGAGCTAGCTCTGCTACTGATTTCTGGGCACAGCAGCAAAAACTGCATCCAAGGCTCCCACACTCCAAGCCTGCATTCTGCCCACAAACTGTGTGCCTCTCCAGAGCAAAAAGGCCTGCTTTTCAGTCTGCAAATAGACATTACTTCAAACAAACAAATAACTAAACAACAACGAAGCAACCACGTGAACCAAACTCAAGCTCTCCATCACCCCCCAAGAAAAGGTCTTTCTGACTATTTTTCTACTGATCTGATTGCAGAACTGAAGATACATTTTGAAGTTTTGCAAATTGATGCAATCTGAAACTGCAAATTGCTGTATGCCCTTTCCTGATCACCATCCAAATACAAAGCCTCGCTGAGGAAACTGCATCCTAGAGGCACTCCAAAGTCCACAAACCTCACTCATATTGGCTATATTCAAAATCACAGAGACATAGCAACCACTGAGATCCATCCATTTTCTATTTCTACATATATCTTGTTCATTTTGTCTTATTCAAGACAAATTTAAAAGTTTTTCCAGTCCTACTATCAAATAAATGTTAAATGGTTGAGATGGACCAAGAGGCATTTAAGCTGTAGGCCATCAAGACATGACTGATCTAGTGATCACCAGACAATCCTCGCTAGCCACGAAATCTGCTGCCCTCAAAAAGTAGAAAGCAGAGCATTGTGGCATCCCACTGAGGAGATCCTTCATTTCAGAAATGTGCTACCAGAGAACTCTACCAACCACAGCATTTAACCAGAGTCATCAGAATCTTTTAAACAGAAAACTGAATGAGACCAGAACCCATCTTGGTCAAATCATCTTGGTCTTGATGGCCATCCACAAAATTAATCTAATAAAGCTAATCTATATCTTAAATGAGTTGATAAAACAAATCATCCAAAACTCTTTTAATGTACAAAAGGAGTTCCTTTCGCTCTTAGTTGATATTAGTCTTTTTATCTTAACAAGCTAGAGAATTACTGTCTTACCCTCACTGATGAAAATTCTTGTTGCTGATACATTAAACACATTTCCTTTATGGGTATAAATAAATTTACAAGTATAATAACCATCATCCTCTGTTCTTGGATTCTCAATAAAGAGATAATTTTCTTTCGTGAAGTATCTCTGTCCCTGAAGAGGTTTGCAGTCCTGGAAAAGAAAAATGTGTTTGGTTTCAAAGAGCTTTTCAGTATTCTGACCTACACTGGCACTATCAGGGTTTTATTTACCTTATACCACTGGACAATAGTAGCATTCTTATAGTTATCAATGGTAGGACAAGCAATTTTTCCTCTTCGAGTGTCATTTGCGTAATGAATCCGGCTCGGGAAGCATTCTCCTGGCTTGTATGAGTGCACTTGCACACTCATGTTGTATGACTTTGTGCGATTACTTGAAAAATGGAATAAGGTATGTCAGTAATTGTTTTTTTATATGGAATATATTAATGTTTATAACAAATGTGTGTCATACTATAAACGTGGATGATTACTGTATTTCAGTCACAGCTGGATTTCAGTGACCTGCCATGAAAATAGCAGTTGCAGGGTGAAAACTTACAAAGAAAGTAATCATTTTCACAAATTATAATTAGAATATATCATCAAAATATATATTCTTGCCAGTCTTACACCTTCCACTTTCCATGTGGCACTTACAAATGTGTTACACAAGTGTAGTTTCCAGAATCCTCTCTAGAAATTGGCAGAAACCAAAGAAAATTTTCTACGGAAAATACTCGTGATCCCTCTTCTTCCGCAGGAATTATTTGGTGAGTATCCATGCGATACCAAGTGATTTTCACAGATGAATTCCATTTGGGACATTTTATAACTAAAGCCTCACCTTCCATAGGATCAACTGCAAACGAACAAAAGATTAAAATCTCAGATAAATTAAACCTTTGTCCACTGAGACAGAGAGTTTGGTATTCCTGGATCAGTATGCCAGTCATGTCCCTCTACCCTCCTTGAGCCCGCCTTTTGAGTGATGATACGTAGCAGGTTTATTTTCACTAGATTGTCTTTCAATAAAAAAATTGTTTACCTTGAGTTATGGAATCATTTGCTTCCAGAAAACATTAACTAACGTGCGGGGCACAAATAAACAAATCCCTAGGTTCTAAGCAGAGACACAGTAAAAAACAGGAGGACTTAATTGAAAAACAGTTTTTTCTTACAGTGAGCTTATTATGTAAATATTTTCCTAAAATATTGTTTTTATTCAAAACAGAAATTAAAACACAAAGAAAAATATTGGCTTTAATGGAATTATCTTTCCTTACATCAGTATAATGAATATTTATTTATGCAACAGATGAGTGCTTCTTTTTCTGCCTCTTTAATACAGAGAAATGAAATTGATTTTTTTTTTCCCTGGAAGAAAATAATCACAGATGAAGGAAGTCTGTAGATTAGATCCTTAGGAAAAATAAAATAAAATGAAAACACAAAAAAACAGCTTCTCTATGAAGTTCATGAAAATGGTGTGGGGAAAAAATGAAAGCAATGTGATACCCTGAAAGGAAGAATCTGATGAGAAGGTGGGAAGGTGAAAAGATACCAGAAATATTTGAGACAAATAAGAAGCTTAGAAAAATAAACCACATGTGGTCACACATAAGAAACTTGGGAGTAAGACACTAAATTTTAATTTTTTTTTTAACTGAGTATAATTCTACTTTTGAATACTGAAATTGGTCCAGAGAAAATAGAATTAAGCAATTTTGACAAATACTTAAGTGCTCAGGTACCTGAATAGTGTACTGAGCACTGAAAACAAACATTAATCTGAAAGTTAAATTGCATTCTGAGAGGATAAAGATGGGAGTATGAGAAAGAGTGATGACAAGAAAAGGATTGAGATTGGCAGAGGAACTGCAGCAGATAAGGGAACATGAAAATGAGAGTAGATAACCAAACAGCTAACCAAAACAGACAGTGTCTATCAAAAATGACACTTTACAGTGGTAGCTTTAGACATGTAGGTGCACAAATCAGGAGGTGAGAGTCTCTACGTGATGAACACCTGCTCTGGGTCTTTCTAAAGAAGTGGTCTGTCTCCACTGATATTGTCATCTCACTTATTAATTTGGATCTCCTAAATTAGCCAGGTATAAGTAACCCAAATGCCATCATTTTAAGTTTTCCCACCCACAAGCATTGCAAAGACACTGGGACATATCAGGGGGGACAGAAAAGGCAGCATTGCCCTGCCAAAGGTGGAACACATTTGAAATACAAAGATTCCTTTGAGGAAAAATAGTGTGGAGAGGGAAGACAGGAAAGAAAGGCCCCATGTAAATTCAATGACATCCATGAAAATCATCTTGGCAAATTCTTCAGCAGAATTCGGCATCTTAGTAAATTTAATTTGCTTGAATCTTAGCATTCCTATTGTAAAATTGACAATATGGACAAATATTTAGAGATCATATTTTACATAATTTTTCAGCCAAATGAGCATGTCAGCTAGAGAATAGAAGTACATGAGTGCTGTGTGACACTGTGTCACTGGGCAGCAGTATATAGCTGAGTCAGTAACACTGGCCCATCAAGAAAGAGTTTATTGTTCTGGACATCCCCCCTGTGCAGGGAAACATTATTGTTACACTGCATTTTTCAATTAACACCCCCAAATTCGGGACATTGGAGAGCTTTTCTATGGAGCGCCGATTTACACCCCTGACTCAGCAGGGTGCATATGCATGTGCATTGCTTAGTGCAATTAAACCTTGCTCCTGGAGTTTGTGCCCATCTGGGACGTGCCACTCTCAGATTCTTTCAAGACCCTTTTCTTTCTGCTTGCAGAGGTTTCAAGTGGCAGAAGTTGAACCTAGACTTGCTGCCGTAGAAATGGACAGTGATGCATTTTAATATACATTAAAAGCTTGATTTTAAGTTGTGATTTCTGGCTTGAGGTGAACTCACTAACTTTAGGCTTAAAAATAAAACCACCAATTTGGAAACAGCCTACACATTTCTACAGAACAAACCTTATCAGAAACTATTTTTAAAATGTGACTTACATATTTCAGATGTCATGGAAACCGAGAGGAAGGTAGATAGGAGGATCAAATCTATATTCCCCATCATATTTCTAAACTAGGAAGAAAAACATCGATATCTTAGAATATACTCTGCATTAGTAATGCTGTATCGATGTACATCAGAAAATTGAATGGAAAAGGATATGCACTGATAAACTTCATCATGTGAGCTGCTCTGTACAGTGAGCATGTGTGCGTGCACATAGCAGTGGGTTTGCAGCTTTGAGATGATGTTATTTGTTCTATCATAACTGAAACTACAGTTATAACTTAGTTTAGTGGGAGTCAGGGAATCACTCCATCATGGTGCACCTCAGGCAGAAGCCTCTTTTAATTTGCTTGAGTTTTTTTTTTAAGGGAGATAAATGTACATTGGCATTATCTTCAAGGTCAAGTTCAGAGAAACTGTACCTCAGCTTAGAAAAGGACAGATCCTGGATTTGAAAATGTAAACCCTGGTTTTGAACTAAGGTTACATCCTTACATACAATCAATTGCTTAGGTGCACAATACTTCGTTTGTCTTTTTATGAAATGGGAGTTATCTTCAGTGACAGCTTATCTAGGTGAATGTTTAGCAGTAAGATCAAAACCAGGTGAGTGTCATAAACAATGCTAAGCTTGAAAGGGAACTGACAAAATGGTCTGGAAAGGTAGGTAAAGGAGCATATATACTTAGCTAACAGCAGCAGGGCAGATCCTGAATCTCACTGATGTTTCCATTTGTGTCCAGCTGATATGCACCAGCAGTAATTCACACCTTGTGGTGTGGCTCAAGAACTCTCCAGCAAACCCCTTTATTTGAAAAAACTGACCATTTGATCATGGGCATTAAATTGACCTAATCCAGGAATATCTCAGGAGACAGCAGGCATGCAATCCAGCTATACTACATAGCTGTAAGCATTCTACTCACCATTAAAAAGCCTTGAATGCAGTTCTTCACAGCAGATCACAGAGCAGTGGGTTCTATTGTGGTGTATGAGTAAGCAGCAGTCACAGGGTCCTACAGGCACTAGACAAGTTGTTTTCAAGAGAAATCAGGTTAGAAAGGAAATATCATTTAACTTGCAGATAGTGAGCACAAGGGGAGTAGTGAAAAGCAGGCAAGAAATGTAAGTACTGTCGTCACACTTACTGCAAGGAATTTTTATTTCAGAGCCAAAAACTTCCAGACTAAATAAACACTGACAATACTTATCAAGTACTATGTTTTTGCCAGGTCTGAAATTCAGAGCAAACTCAGATCTGAGCTTTCAGAAATATCATCAGCTTTGTATTGATATGGAAAGTTTCTTCTTTCAGAGGTTTAATAATATCCAGAGGGTTATTCTTAAACTCTGAAAAAAACAAAAAAAATAGTGTTCAAAAAGTGTCAGAATTTCATTGTAGGCGTTATGCAGGGACAGTCACAAATCACAGGAAAGATCAAAAAAACAGCATCTCAGCATTAATGTCACAGCAAAGCTGATGCCATGCCTTTTACAGGAAGTGAGTGACCAGTCAGGAGAAATATATGTGTGAGGATCGATTTGCTTTCATTATTGCTGGAGAAAAACACCACATACAAGAGCAAATCTACTGACTTCCTTTACTTTAAGGAAACCTTAGGCCAGGTGAACAGATTTTTAGAGGGTGCTTTACAACACTAACATGAAGACTTTTGTCCTAGAAGGAATGAACAAGGTGTTCATGAGTGACCTGGGACTGGACAGACCCGTGGGAGAAAAAGATACGTCACAAAACGTCACAATGAAATCCACAACATCAACACAGCAAAGCATTCATCTTCATTCATCATTTAGAGCATGAAACTTGTTCCTAGAAGCCATTCCTAACATTATCTGGGACCAAAAATATCCAGAATATTCCTTCTCTACTGGGATCCTTTTCCCACAAAGTGCTTGGTTTTATTCCAGCAACTTATTTTGCTCCAACAAGGTATGCCTTGTAATATTAACTGCCTTTCTATTTTTTAGAGCGATCTTGTTTAGATAAGTGACGCCTCAGCAAGATGACAAAAACTAAACTGATTGATTTTTAAAGAAAAATAATTTCCTAGACTGTTTGGAGTCTTTCTGAAATGAGGGTGGTTTTTTTCTCATTTGTTATTTTATTTGTAAGTGTTTATTAGGATTTTAACCACAAGTAATACCACTTTTGGAGACACTGACAAGTCCCTTATTGCCAGTGCTATTGCAGCCCTATAAATGGAAGGCTGGTGATTACCAGAAAGTTGCAAGATTTGCTTTCACCATTTTTGAGATACAGATTTTTCCAGGAAGGGAAAAAGCCAAACACTTGCTCTCACCAACTTTTTTAACAAGCACCAGAATGACTCAGGAGTAAGAAATTCATAATTTCCTATCTCCATACTTGCCAGTTTTTGCAATTAGCCTTCTGTTTATTGAAAAAATATGTCTTTGAGAGACCTTAGACATACTGGGCTACCAGCCTGCACCAAAAGAATGCAAAGTATTCCAGCTGAGATTCTCCCCATCTAATGTGATGATTGCCTTACTGATTTTCCCTCCATTTTTAAGTTGCTGTGTATCGCAGAAGTTCAAGTAGGGTTTGGGGGTTGTGTGCATGAATATGTACAATATTCTGTATTGAAAGAGGAATATTGCCTGAAAATTCAAAGAGCTCACGCAATGAAAAAAGCAATGTGATTTTGTTTGCATTTTCCAAAGTCAGTGGTAAACCAGCAAAGCAGCAAATTATATCAACATGAACTGAAACAGAGGTTGCAGGTCTAGCAGAAAAGAGCAAGAAAAGGACTGGTTCTACACTGCCTGGCAGCTTCTTCCTATAGCTTAGAATGACTGTGTGGTATGAGTGTAAGCCTCTGTAAACAAAAACTTCAGTGTGGTACTGAAAAAGCACTGGATTCAAAATTTGGGATAACTATCTGAGTAGGTCAAAACCTAGCTCCTAATGATCCACTACCAGAGGAAGGTGAGAGAAGGGGGAACCCACTGTGTATATTGCAGAAGCAGTGGTCTGTGGGGCTGAACTCATTGTTTCTCTGAAGGCAACTGTGTTACTAACATAGTCCTGATTTTCTTTCCAAAAATCTATTTTCCAACAAAATGTTTATAATGCTGTTTATATAAGTGACAAACATTACCTTGCATAGTAACAAAACCTGGAAATAGTATTGCAATTTCTACCCAAAAAAACTTAATGGACTTTACAATGTAAACATACCATGAAAAAGCAGTTCTGTGGGGTTTTTTCACTGATATATACACAACCCATACACATTTTGGAAATTATTTTCATTCTTCTATCAAACCAGAAAATCCATTCTGACTGAAAACATCCTGTTAAAATTGCAGCAGTAAAACTGAACTTATTCCAGAACTCACATTCACAAGAGTTAACAATTATAATAGCTACAGGTGTATGTGTGAAATTCAGGAATTTCAGTAATAAAGCATGAAATTTCTAGAACTGATATACATATTATTCTTAAAAAATATTTTTAAACAAAAAAATACATATATATGTTAAACACTGTAAAATCAATTGCAGAGTAAAGATTTTCTGTGGGTTTGACCAATTATTAAAAATATACGCCAGGAAACTGATGGCAAAATCCATTTCTAAGTACACTTCACTACAAGATAAATTTTTATGTTCATCCCCACACTATTTGTCTATCATGGAAGCATACCCACTATTTTAATCTAATATTATTTCTCAAGATAATGAAGCACATAAGTGAATTGAAATAAACTTTCTTATCAAATACTTCTATTACTTCTGGTTAAATGACAATATAAAAATTTGACCTACCATTTGGAAAATTTAGAAAGCAGACAAGTGGCTTGTTCTCTGTGGATGTGTCTTTTGCAGAGATTTCTCTGCTTAGCTTGTACCAGATATTGCTGTGAGCTCTTTTTATGCGGCTTGGGCAGTTCATATCTGTAGCAGCAAGATACACAAATGCATTCTGAGACACCTCCCACTGAACAGAGCAGAACATGCAAATTACAGTAGCAATTTACTTTAAGTACCTACAAGAGATAGCATCTCATTATTCCAGCTAATCAGGCATCTTTTACCACTAGCTTAGATTTTTCTTTATTGCAAATTATTCCTTTTTAGCACAATTATAGTGCAGTAAGCCTGCTGTCTGGGGAGCACAGAGAGGGGACACTCAGATGGCAGAAGGCACTTTGAAACAGATTTTGCTTGAAAACAACAGCTTTGCGTGGTCTAGTCAAGCAGCAGGTCCCTGAGAACAGCTTGAAAAGTCTCTGGAGAATCAGAAGCAGTTTTTACTTAAGGAAACTGCTTCACTGAAGCTAGGCTGGAAAAAGGTGGTGCTGAAAAACCAGTAATCTCCACCAACAGCTAAATTAAGTCTCTGAGGGAAAGAAGATTTTATCCTATGGTCATTCAAACTTTTGCGTCCCTTCCCTGGCAAAATTGTGAATTCTATTTGTCCCTCCCAGTGTTCCTGGGACTCTACTGCCAGCATGTAACAACTCCACATCAATACACAAAGATGTAGCAATTATATGCCAGTATGCAGAAATCTTACCTGTGTCAGACCCAAGGTCTCCCCAGTTTTTGGTATAGCATTTCCTTTGAAATGATCTGGGGTTTGTACTTCCCATATGACAAACAAAAAAAAAAAAATGCAAAAGAGCTAAAAAAGAAGTCAACCAACCAGAAGAAATGAAATCTCACAATGTTTTGGTTTTGGTCAAACAGTTCGGACTCCTACCTTCAAATGCTCACAAATTATTCCTTGCTCAAGTTCGTGAGGTTTCATCAGAATCAATGTCTTCCTCATTTCCTGATGTGAGAGACTTTGGTGAAAATTCTGGAGTAACCATCTGCATTCGGTGGTGGGGTCAATATTCTATAACCACAACATGTCAGTTTCATCTAGGGAAAGGTTAAATATATTCAGGTAAAACTAACTTCAATTTTCTGGAAACAGAAAAGGTTATTCTGTCATAAAGTCCACTGAAACTTCGATCAGAGGAGCTTATAGTGTTGCTCCATTCTTGAGAAGAGCCCTTGCCCAGGTTGTTCCCAGATTGTGGTGCAGATGGGAAACTGAGCTCCTGACTAAAAAGAATACTTGCCAGATGAGCAAAAGCCATTCTGCAGCTTTCAAAAGAAACTAAAATCAATACCTCATAACTTTGGGCCCATCTTCGAAAACAAAATCCTACTGATAAGTTTATGGAAAAAAGAGCTTATAGAAATACCTCAAGAGATTTCTTTGAGGGGTGAATTGGCAGCCAGTATGCATAGCACTACAGAACACAAGGGAATCATCTGTTCTCAAAGCAAAGAGATAAGTAATGAGTTTGAACTGAACCAGGGGATACTTAAGAAAGCAGAAAAATATTTTACAAGGTAAGGTAGTGAAGCACTGGAAATTTGCTGGGAACCTAGTGGAGCTGCCACTCCAAGGGTTAAAGAACAATTCAGTATCGGTATCAAGATGAGTGCAGCTGGCTCCACAGGTCCTTACCAGCACTAGGAGTCAATGATCCAGAGATTCAGCCATCAGTGATTCAATGACTGTTTTGGCACAGCATGAGCATATGAACTTAATCTGAAATGTGTTGGCAAGACTCCTAGGCTGTGAAAAATATGCAAGCTAAAGCCATACAAGATACAAAAAGTGAAAACCCAGATTGAATGAGGTTACTGACATCTTAAGAGTTAGGAGCTCAAGCATGCAAGAGGAAAAATGATAACATTGAAGATAAAGTCCCGAGATAAAAAGCAGAGATAGGGAAACAGAAATTCCGCACCATCTGAGTTCACTTTTCTCCAAGAAGTGCTTAGCGTAGCAGCACATTAGCCCTGCTTGCCTAATACCTAACTCTATTAGCCAAGAAACATTTGCTGGGTGCAATTTTTGCACCCTGCTTGCAGACTGACAGTGGACACAGTAGGGAAACTTCAGACACAAGTGACCCTGCCAGGAGAAGTTTCACTATCTACATTTACTGAGGCCAACCCAGGGAACTCTGGTGGAATTGGCAAATGGTGGGATGGCAGGGGAAGCTGTTGTTGGGTGTGCTGTGTTTTTTGGCAACCTGTGCCAGGTCTAATGATCTTTGGCTGGTGGGAATCTAACCTGCTGAGGTTGCAATGTTCTTCCTGTTTTACCATGTCATGGTGCCCTTCCTGTGGCTAGCAAAGGCATCTCATGCTTTGTGTTAAGAGAGAAATAAGAAAGATTTTTCAAGGTCTATAGTATTCTAATAGAGATGGATTTTTCCAAGGAAAAAGTTTCCCCTGGCCTTTGTCATTGATCATGCAGCCCTGGTACCACTCACATTGTGGGTGATGAAGGGGCTGGTACCCAAATAGTTCTGGTGGTTCCTTCCATTGAGAAGTTTGAGACAGTTATCCCAATAAGACACTTTTGGTGGATACATTCCTAACCAGAGTGTATTGGGTTTGGCAAAACTTGGGAGGGTAGAGAGGTGACTTCTGTGAGAAGACTCCAGGAGCTGCCCTCATGTTGAACAGAGGCACTTCCAGCCAGCTCCAAAAGAGATCCACACTGTCCACAGCTGAGCTCATCTGCAACATTGGTAAGTACTCCATGGGAGCACATTTAAGAAAAGGTAAAAACTGCTCCACAGCAACTGTGAGTGAGGGCTGAACAACCCTGCAGTGTACACGGGGAGGGGTAAAGGTGCTCCAGGTGCTGGAGCAAAGATTCCCTTTCAGACCATGAGGAAAATCATGACAATACTGTGTCCTCCTACAGCCCATGGAAGATATCACACAGGAAAAAGTAGATGGATGTGACCTGAAGGAAGCTGTAGTCCATGGAGAGTCCATGCTGGGGCAGATTCCTGGCAGAAACTGAGGCCACAGAGGAGCCCATGTAAGAGCAGGTTTTCTGGAAGATAACACACATTGGAGCTGCTTGTTCCTGAGGGCTGCAGTCCATGTAAAGATCCACACTAGAGCTGTTTGTGAAGTGCTCTAGCCCATGGGAAGACCCACACTGGAGAAGTTTGTGAAGTGTCTCCTAAGAGACACCTTATATACATTCCCCTTCACAGCAGGAGAATAGTGTGATAAGGAAGAAGAAATAGAAACAAAATATTATGAGCTGACTGCAATCCCTCTTCTCCATTCCTCTGTGTCACTTGGGAGGACAATGTAGGAGACTTGGGAGTGAAATTGAGCCTGGGAAGAAGGGAGGGGTTGGGAGAGAATGGGATTCATTTGGGGTTTTTTTCTCACTATCCTACTCTGTTAATAATTGGCAAATTAAAATAATTTCCCCAGGTTGAGTCTGATTTGCCTTTGATAATAATTGGTAAGTCATCCACCTGTCCTTTTCTCAATCCATGGACTTTTCATAGTATTTCCTCCCCCTGTCCTATTGAGAGGCTAATGGAGCAGCTTGGTGGGGCCAGGGTGGCCAGGCAAGGTCAACTGGCATGGCAGGCTCCCACACAGCAGTAAGTGAGAACATGAATGCAGACAGCAAAGGATTCATATGAATTTCACTTTTACAAAGCCATCAGTATTTTTACCCTACTCATCTCAATCCTTCATCCCACCAAGCCAGAAATATTAAGTATCTTATAATATATCCTTTCAAATCCACTCTAGTTGCCAGATAGTGTATTAATGTTCAGAGGATGTAAAACAGAGATGATTATCTTGAAGGAAGCAACTGGGTAAAGTAACCAGAATCATATCAGCGCTTTTTTTATGTGGATGGCAAGTGTTTCCTTTGGCTTGCACATTGATACATTACTTGGAGTGCCATATGATCACCAGCAGTTTATAAAAGATCTAGCGATGATAGTTATGCTTAGATAGTTATAGTCAGGCCAAGGACTGTATTCAAACAAAAACCTTAACATCACTAACAAAGCCTTTGTATATTAAAACCAGTTTCCCTTTAAAAGAAATTGTAAATTTCTCAGCTCCATGCCTTGCCCCAAAAGGAAAGCAGCTGCACTGCCATCCCACAGGATCTGGATACAGCCAGCCAGAATCAAAATAACAGCAGCTGTTCTGAATGTCTGAGTGTCACCAGGCCACCAGCAGGATCCCCATGGGAGACCACAAAGCCCACCAGAGAAAGGATCTGTGCAGTACATCTGTTGCTCTTTTGGAAATTAAAACACTTTGCTGAGTCTCCAGAATCTTCCATTCCCACAGGTGGGCCTGTCCTTAGATGCCAGGATGCCTGACAGTACAGAGGTGAGGATGAGTCTGAACAGGCAATTTTCTCTAGGCAAGAAGCTGATCCTAAGATTATACACAAAAGAAACACAAAAGTAACCATCACTCTTGTGTCCAAATAACTTCAGGACAGAAACAATAAGTGAATCAGTAATGAATAGGAATAAGTCCACAAGTGAAATCCTCCAAATTTTAAGTTAGAGACCTGGTGCAGCATCCTAGACTCATTCCAGACATCCTAGGTCCTTACAGCCAACACTCACTTTGGAGTGCATGGGAGGCAAACTTCCTTCCATGCAGCTCCCACTCCATTTTTCATCACTGTGGAAACAATTATTTAGCACATCATTGTTGTTCTTATCTGGTCTCTTCCCTGAGAACAAAGAGGTTTTTTTCTACACAATTTCTTAGGAAGACATATCTATAAATACCTGGTATTCTGGAAACCACAACTTGGATGCATAAGACACAATTCTTATTAATTTACACAACTAAAATGAATTTCAGTTCTCTGGAAAGTCACTGAAGTTAATTTGTTGACAAATTATATTGTTTATAAAGACATCTTACTGAATAGTCTTGTTTGTTCCCTAATGTATACGAATTACTGGAAGTTAATATCTTACTGGTGCAAGAGGGTCCTGATGCACTGACAGCATATAAAAGCAGAGCTTTAGTCATAAAAAAAATATGATAACACTACTTAGGAAAATGTCTTTTTTTTTCTCTCTCTAGGTTATGGACTGGGTTTTTGGAAAATCTTTTTTTCTCTTTCATATTATCTAATTGATTTTACTATCAGATGTGGCTGCAACTTGGAGTTTGCATTCCCTGAAAGTTTAAAGTATTTTGGAAAGAAGAACAAGGCTTCCCATAAAAATGAAATATCACCCAAGTTATTTATTTCTGTAATAAAAAAATCAACATATTTGTTAGTTTTTCTATAGTTGAAGCACCAGGCATCCAAACCCCAAGGACTCCTCTGCCAGAGCTCAGAAATTTTAGAGTGCCTGTCAAAACAGGGAGGCCTATGAACATGAAAACTTTCTCTGTGCCTATCTCTCGGCAGCTATTCACATGGAAATTAGGATAGACTATGTCAGAAAATGGGCTGTTAATTGCACTCTATGTTTCCAGTTTGGCCAGCTTTAAGAAATTCTGAGAATATAGACTGTTGCCTACCTCTGTAAACTGTAGAGATACCAAATGGCATGCAGAGTGCCTTTTAGCACCTATTACCCAGATTTCAGGCTTGTTTCTCCACCATGAAAATAGATACTCAACCTAATCTGTTTTGCCTTCCCTTGGTAACCGAGAATAAGTCTTCTTGGGAAATGAGCTGTTCCAGAGCCAATCTTCTTCCATCAATATAAAATGAGCAGATTTTTTTATCCATAGTCACCATGCCCACTACCACCGCATAACTTGGTCTTGGTGCGTCTATTACTCACTTTGCCATTGTCAGCCAGGCCAAAATCCTAATTTCTGTAGGATTCTACATGGAAAAGAACCTATATGTAACTATGGCCTATTGCAAACACAGTCAAGTTTTCACCAGGACTACTTCACAGATCTGTGAGTCTTTGTTCAAAAATTTGTCCTTCAAGGTGCCAGTAAGAAGCAGACACTGCAGGAAGGGCACAGTGGAAACCCCATGTGCTTCCCCTATAGGATGTAGGCATTGTAATATAGGCAATCCACAGTTCTACAGGAAAACAACACTGAACAATGGAGTCACTTAAAATAAGACAAACATTGTTTAAAGTAATTTATTCTTCAGATTTTGTGTCCATGACTTCTGTGAGGCAGCTCTCTGAGGCAATGGAGCCCAAGCTCCTGCCTCCTCCAGGAGGTTATCCCACAGCTAATCCATGCCTACACGAGAAATACGTGTCCT